AAACCCTCCTCCAGCACTCGCTCTTCATGAGAGGCGAAGGCATTCGGAAAGTTCTATTGGTAGCACGTGCCAAAAACTACAACTTGTTGGCAAAGTTACCGATGACTCCCTTCTTCAGAAGTTGCTTAGAAATAAGCTGATGATGGGTTTGTCCCCATGGCATACGAAAGTACCAATTTAGCATCGAAACGAATGAACGAATCGTTGGAAAATTAACTGTACCATTGGCGGAGTTGATTTTTTACAGGATATTACGTCCACCATCAAATTCATTAATGAACCGGAAAAAAAGTAACTTGGGCTTCACAGAAACAAACAGCCACTCTGAGATGAAGAATGCGCCCTTTTAGTAACCCCACCCAAAATAGTGATTATTTCGATATCCTTATTAGAAGCTTTTTTATCCGTTTCTGCAAATTATGCAATTCCAAAAAGCACATATTGTCAAGACGTTACCTATATGTGCGCCTGTTCCTGAATCTGTATTCGCATTTTTTGTCACCCATTTTCAACTCGAGAACTAGAAAAGACAGGATGCTGAAACTCTGAAAGCATGTGTCCACCCCATGTGCAACTCGCTGCTTTAATTATATTATCATTTTCATGCGCAAGGGCTCCACGTACGAGCGACTGAGAAAAATATGTAATTTCTTTGGAAGGAAAGCGATCTTGGGGAGGGAACAAGATAGAAAGTTGAATCTTTGTTGAGCCAAAGATTTTAAACCAGCTTTGGCGCACACATACAGCTCGTATGTGAGCGCATCAAAATTGCCATTGACAAGGTTTACATCACTATAACACTGGAAACTATTTCGCTTCCTCCTTCCTCGCCCTTTCTTCCTCTTCGGCCCCACAGCTAATAGAATCGAAATTGCATCATCTTGTTGCTTAGCTTATTAGTGGTGCTAGCTTTCATTAGACAAAAGAATTGCTCAACCTATCATTTTCAAGCAACTGCTGATTAATGGGCAAATCTGATTGAATCCAGAAAAACACATTTTATTTCATAATTTCAGGAGCATTCTTCATTTACGATGCTCTAACAATTATAGCATTTGTATTCATATTCTTTCTGGTACCGGAAACAAAAGGGATGGCAATTGAAGAAGTGGAACAATTATTTATGACAAAAAAAGAACGGCAACGACGTTCAACGATTACTGGCGGGGTCAGAGCGATATTCGAAGATACGTGGAGGACAGATGTTGCTTGCGTCGACAACTGGGCGCACACAAGATATAATTACAATGATGACATTGATGATATTCCGGTGAAAAGCACACAAATGTGATAAATTTTGTTTAAAAGCACTTTGACATTACTGTATCAACCGCGAATGATGTCCACGCAGCGTCAAAAGAATGTGGGGAAAACCATTCAAATGGCCATATAAGATTATGCTGATGAGAGCTGCTCAAAATAAAGAAGAATGAAAATGATTAGTTGTATCGGTGGCGAGAAATGCGTTGATGAAGCAACTGCTAATCAAAATATCAAACGTGGCGCAGTGGTAAGTAATGTAGCTGTCCGTCAAACTCTCTACGATGAAAAAAAAAAAAAAAAAAAAACAAAAAAATCGAAATTAAAGGATTAGGACCTATTAATAAAGGCTAAAAAAACCAAAAAGATGTGCTTATGCGAGTGGAAACTGTCTTTAAAAACCAGTCTTCCCAGTAATGGGCTTCCCTATTTATGAAGTTGGTGCTTAGGTAAAGCTGAGAGCTCCCAACTTATGCGCATTATCTTATTCGCTCTCAGCTTTGTCTGAGCATCAGCTTCATAAATGGGGGAGTCTTCTACCGATGACTGTTTTTTATACGACAATTTCCACTCGCATAGGCTCACTTTTTTTGCTTTTATTTATAAGTTCAGATTTTTTGCTTAGCTTTTTTGGCTCCTGTTCATAAAC